TTCCTTCATCTACTATTAACATTCTCTCTAATCTTCTTGTTGATCATCACAATCAAGTTATAACTAATCTTGATTTAACTTAATCCTACTTAGTTCACAATAGTATTGACCAAGATGAAACTATTACTTCTTTGTTATGACATATTTACTATGATCTACTTATCTTCTATATATACTTAAACACTTCTAATTACAAATTACAATCCTCTTGAACCACTAATCTCAAACTTTAAAGATCCAACTTATTACAAAAACAATGCTTTGTCATGACTTATATAGATGATACTCTTTAAATTATTTTATCACAATTTGAACTATTATATATATTATTTATAGCTGAATCCTTTTATGCTATGACCAATATTCAAATTAACCTTTTAAAATTCATTCTGGCTACCAACAATCCTCCATCTCATTATACATCTATCTCTTATAATAACCATCTTCTTTTTCTTTACTCTTCCAAAATACCTTTTAAATTTTTAGATTGTTTGTTTACTTTGGACAACAAACAATTTAAACAAACAAAACTACTTATTTCTGAATCTTCTTAACTAATTCAAATTACTAAAACCAAATGTATTACTGACTCACATGTTCACTATATTATTAATACAGTGATTATTTCTATTCTTGAATACCAACTTCAAAATATTGTAATCAATCAATTAACTTACAATAAAATATTTATTCAGCATATTGGCCTTGTCAAACTTAAAGCTAAACTTTGTTGTACAATACTTTTTAGTATTCTTTTATATCCACAAATTTATAATATCAAATACATTTGAAACATTCAACTGCAACATTATATTCCTAATCTTCTTAAATGACTTAATAATTCTGACCTATTAGGCACATTTACTCATAATTGAATTCAACAATTACAAAACAATCTTTGGTTTTCAATTAGTATTTTCTCTCATCTCAACTCAATTATTGATGGTCCTAACTGCCCAACTACAAACTTTAAAATTATACAGCTTATTAAACATATTGGTTGAACATTCTCAATTAATCCAACTTATAAGATTTCTTACACTTTATATAATGGAACTATCTCTTTTGAATCTTCCTTTTCTTCCATTCTAAATATTCTATTTTCAAAAAACAACTTAAATACTACAAACTTCTCTTTCTTGACCAACTTACCATCTATAATAATTCATATTTATTATATTGGTATTATATTTTTCTCAAAAAAACAAACTTCTTAAAAGTGTTATACCTCAATAGTTTACTACTCTTGTGAATATTACTACAAGTCATTTTTATTAATGTTCATTATATAATTATTTTAATCTACCTCAATTAAACTACTTTTCTTATACTACTGGCTACTTTAAATCTAATACCAAGCCCTAGTTACTTACTGTTTTCAATAATCAAATTATTGTCAGCAAGGCTAGAAGGCATAACAGCCCTACAGGCCTTACTCTTATTACTCACTGGCACTGTTCATTTCAGTCTCAGTTTTCTAACCCTTATTCTATTCCTCTCTCTACTACTACTATATGACCTGAATGCCATCTTAATTTTAATACAATTACTAACAAATGCATTATTTTTATTTTTACAAATTTGACTACTAAATTACTTTGTCATATTAATTCTGACAAAACTCTTAATCTATATGCCAACTTTCTTGATATTATATACTTTGTAGCTATTCAATATTCTTTATATATTCTACTATCTTCTTTATTAACAATTAATTCACAACAATTATCTTGCATCTTTTAATCAGGCCAACTTACTAACAGTCTATAGTCTATTGCTAATTCTAATTATAATCTAACTACTATCTCATTTTATATTAATGATTTTATTATTAAGCTTGGTACTTCTTAATGCTCTATAGACATAGACTGAGTCCAAGTTGTTAACTTTACAACTACTTATTCATTTTAGATACAAATTAAACTTTGGTTATGCTTTTTTAAAGCTGAAATTCTTACTATTTTTTTAGCAATCAATACTGCTCCCAGAAACTATTTTGTTTATATCTTTACTGACTTACAATTTGTAATTTTCAAATATTACAGTATCTGCTCATCAGCTTCTAAACTTTCTTATACTTATACTTCAAACTTCTCTATTTGGCAAACTTTTATTAATTTTATTAACTCATATAATATTTAGCTCACTTTTTACAAAGTTACTGTACACCAAGATGACCCATTTAAAAATCTTGCTGACCAGCTTGCTCATAGTTATCAAATACTATTCTTTTTAATAGTTTTAAGTAACAACCCTTATAACTCTGCATATATTTTATTTATTGACCAATTTCCTATTAAGATTCCTATTCAATGCTCTATTCACACTATCTGTTAAGCTTTAGTAATAGAACTTTTTATTTAACTAATCAGAATAATCCAAATATAACATAATTATTTAGATAAATTTTGATTTCAGATAATTAGACCAGATTATCTGATTATCTGTTAATTAATAACAATATAATAATAATAATAAAGTTAAATAGATAAATTAAAAAAAGTTTAATATATTAAATAAAATATATAAATATTTAAATAAAAATAAAAAACTAAATATAAAAAAATTAAACATAAAAAAATTTTTTTGTCTTATTCTTGTTAACTATGAATGAAATTTATAAAAGTGACTTAAGCAATAATTTTCAAAATTCAAAAAAAGTAAAGTTGATATTTTATCTTTAACATTAGTTTTTTCCAATAAATCTGATAAAAAAAATTCAATAAGTAAGATATGGCTTTATTTTAAAACAGACAAAATCAAACAAGTTAGAAAATGTAAAGTAAATATACTTGGTAAAAATAGATATGAATAATGTAGAAAAAAGATAAATCTCAATACTGCAAAGCCAATAGAGAATTTTTGGTATCATCTTTAAATGGCACATAGTATTACTAAAGACAATATTGATAAAATATAAAATATTGAACATAATCAAATAAATTTTATTCATAAGTAAATCTTAAATAATAAGATTATATTTTTTATATATAAGAATCGAAACCCTTTTTTAGTAATTGCAGATGATGAATTTATTGAATTAATAAAAAAAGCAGTTTCTAATTATAAACTTTTATCTAAAAAAGCTATAAAAATTTTGTTGTTGCAAGCATTCATATATACAAAGCAACAGCTTTTTTATAGTTCATTAATAATTGATTTGTAAATAGCATGGTTAAAAAATAGATATATTAGAATTACCTGTTCATATTTGGATAAAAATTTTAAATTAAATAAATTGCTTTTAGCTCTTAGATATTTACTATATTCACATATGAGTATGTCTATTGCTAATATGGGGACCAGTAAACAAAAACACAGCTTATAGCATTTTTTCCATTTTGAAAAAATCATATTTAAATTTTGGTGTAACAATAATAATGGATAATCTATTTTTAGTATAACCTGTTGTGACACTTATAACAAAACTTATAAATTATGCATGTTAATCTATAGTCTAATATATTAAAATCGCATTCACCAGTCGATGTATTGCCAGGATCTAAAAAAATTATTACATATGTATGTACCAAGATACCTATATATTTCTATTGTTTTCTTTTTTTGTGCATAATACTATTAGCGCTTAAATTTTTAGATATAATTTTTTTTTAAGTCAGTTTAACTTTTTTGCTTTAATTTTTTAGGCATTTTTAGAAATTTCTTCAACATTTTGGAGCTGTTCTCTAGTAGTTTTCTGGCAAATCTATCAGAAAAAGGCTCTAAAACGTCAAAGAGCTCTCTTTAGAATTTTGTGTTGTTTTTGGTAGTTCTTTTTGGCATCTTAGAACTGTTCTTCAACAGTTCCCTTTGAATGTTTTGAAAGTGTTTTCTAGTAGGTTTCTTAGGCATTTCAAGGTTATTCTCTTTTTGGCATTTTGAAGCTGTTCTCTAGTAGTTTTCTACTAAGAAACCTATTTTGCTTTAGCTTCAGCTTCTAATTAGTTTCTTTATTAGGCTTGGAGCTGTTCTCTGATAATTTTTTCATTGGGTTTGGAGTTGTTCTCTGATAATTTTCTTCATTGGCTTTGGAGTTGTTTTCTGATAATTTTCTTCATCAGGTTTGGAGTTGTTTTTTAATAATTTTTTTCTTAAGTGTTTTAGAAATTTTTGAACTGTTTTCTGGTAATTTTCTTCATTAGTTGGAGCTGTTATCTGGTAGTTTTTTACTAAGAAACCTACTCTAATCTAATTCAGCTTCAGCTTCTAGTTTTTTCGCCAATTTTGGAGATTTTCTCTGGTAATTTTCTTCATGGATAAGGAGCTGTTTTCTGATAAGCTGCTTAGAAATTTTTGAGCTGTTTTTTTGGTAATTTTCTTCACCAGTTTAAAGCTGTTATCTGGTAGTTATCTACTAAGAAACCTACTCTAATCTAATTTAGCTTTAGCTTCTAGTTTTTTTGCCAATTTTGGAGATTTTCTTTAGTAATTTTCTTTGTAGGTAAGGAGCTGTTTTCTGGTAGGTTTCTTGGAAATTTTTGAGCTGTTTTCTGGTAATTTCTTCACCAGTTTAGAGCTGTTATCTGGTAGTGTTCTACTAAGAAGCCTACTCTAATCTAATTCAGCTTCAGCTTCTAGTTTCTTCACCAGGTTTGGAGATTCTCTGGTAATTTTTTTCGTGAGTAAGGAGTATAGTTCTTAGGCGAAACCTGGGTTTAGGTTTCATATTTCATCATTTGCAACATGGCTCTGTTTTTTCCAAAGTCTTGGAGAATTAAACTTGCTGAAAACTTGAACTTTGTCTTTCTTTGGGGTTTTGCCATTTGCCAGGGGTTTCATCATTCACCAGGGGTTGCGTCATTCACCAGGATTTCGTTAGTTTCATGTTTCACCAGATTTAGGTTTTGTGTTTCACTATTTGCAAAAAACAATTTCACCTAACAACTATAGCAAGGAGCTGTTTTCTGGTAGGTTTCTTAGAAATTTTTGAGTTGTTTTCTGGTAATTTCCTTCACCAGTTTGGAGCTATTATCTAGTAGTTTTCTACTAAGAAGCCTACTCTAATCTAATTCAGCATCAACTTCTAGTTTTTTCACTAGATTTGGAGATTCAATGGTAATTTTCTTTGTAAGAAGTTGTTTTCTGGTAGGTTTTTTGCAAATTTTTAAGCTGTTTTTCTGATAATTTTCTTCATAAGTTTGGAGCTGTTATCTGGTAGTTTTTTTTTACAAAGAAATCTACTCTAATTTAATTCAGCTTTAGCTTCTAGTTGTTTTACCAGGTTTGAAGATTTTTTTCTGATAATTTTTTTACCAGTTTTGGAGTGTTCTCAAGCTGTTTTATTCGCTGAGTTAGGAGCTATTCTCTGGTAGACGTCTTAGAAATTTTGGTATTGTTTTCTAGTAATTTTCTTTTCTATGTTTGAAGTTATTCATTAAAAAGCCTACTTTAATTTATTTCAGTTTCTA